AAATCTGCTATCTCACTCCTGAAAAAGAAAACACTACAGCTCTTTGCTTCTGAGATTCACAATCTTGTTTGCAATTTGGATAACACATTTTACATCAGCTGCACTTATACCTATCAAGGGATGACTGGCAACAAATGCACTTGCAAAGGCTACTGCCTCTGACAGCACCCTCCCAACTAACAACAGTAACACAAGTAACATTGTTACTCACGTTACTGTAGGTAGTTCAGTGCTGAAAAGACTCCTGTGGGAGGATCTTATGCAAGATTGGGATCACTGCATGCATAATATCACTTACCGCATCAGTTCCTGCCCAATGTACACAAGGCCACTACCTATAATTAGTTCACACCAAACCATCATCATTTAATTCATTACCAACCATGAATAGTTTGCTAGTTATCTGTACAGATTTACATCCAACTTGTGCATTACTTGTGGTGTTGAGGACAGAACCATCCATTCATTGTCCAATGCTGGAAAACGAATGACTGCAATTGAAGCTAATTGTACAAAGCAAAGGTAGACAGTTGCAAAGACTTCATAAATGATAAAGAGACTTAATTCCACCTCCAGCACTTGGTTTCTAGATACCTAAAGCTGACAAGGATCTCAACCTTCATTTGACCCAATAGGAACTGATGTAGTGTATGGAATAATAACCATCTCTATACATTGCGTATGTTCCTGGCAGACCCTTGCATCAGTTACTACTTACTGCAACTTCAGCAGATATTTCTAAACATATAGCTGTTTCATATTTTCACTTGTATTATATTGTGGTTCTATCTATGTCTTTGCAAATCTGTAGTATTCTCGTACACACTTAAAGGCATTAATAGAATCACCATGCCTATCTGTTGTACCACATCTATTTTATGCTAATGCATCTTGCCTTTCTTATCGTATTTAATGCTTTTGGGTCTTAATGTAATATTGCACTTTTTTCTACTTACTACACTAGATATGTTGTCAGGTTTAAATTATCTAATACTGCACACTTTGTGCACAAATCAAATTACCATGCTATTCTTTTACTGCTCATCACCATACCAATAGGCTTTGTATGCAAACTTCTGATATAGTTTACTATAATTTAATTTGTACCATTGTTTTTTCTGCCTAGTTGTGCCTAGCAGTACTAGGCATGTACTGTACATTATTTTTTGTACCTAAATAAAGAAAAAGAAGAGGGATTTGTTGACCTAAATGAGGCAGATATCACTGAATTAATTAATTACAACCAAGATGTTGATAAAACTAAATTAACAGAGTTAGCACGTTGTTCTAATTCTAGTAATGATAAGGAAAACTCATTCCAAATTTTTAATGAATCAGAGCAACATTTGGATTTAAAAATTTAAATAACAGGTTTTGAAATAGCCAAAATGCTAAAACATATTTTATGAAAAATTATCTTTCAACAGAGCATTCTATGGAATTTTAAGAAAATTGAATGATTGTCTATCCCCATATTTTCCAAGGTAAAAATGATCTGGGAAAAAAGTGTGTTTAAATAATGAGAATAATAAAAATGAAACTATGGACTCTTCCAGTGATGAATCTGTACAGTCAATATTAACCAGATCATTATTTTGTGAATATTGGCTGTTCAGTCATATCAAATGTCATTGGAACTTAATTTGTTGAAACTTTTGATAGTGAATAAATATTAAATAATGAAGTATTTTTATTTTGTTTTAATTATAAGGAGGAAATAGTCACAAAGATAAAAGTTGAATAAAAAATATATATTTTTTAATAAACCTCTACATCTTTTATAAATATTAGCTTCACTGTGTATACCAGTATATAAACAATAGATAAGTACATACATTCTGCATTTCTAAACAAAAACTCGAGTATGTCAAATATTAAATTTACCTTAAGCATTATAAGAGACTGTTTATAGCAGTGTATGAGTATTAATTGCAATTTTTTCATTGTGTTATAGAAATTGCATTATACAGGAGTTCACTGTACTGAATACATGTTAATTTCATTAATGTAGTTACATAGGAAGTCATGTAAGGAGAATCAGATGGAATTTTTTATTGACATTAAATTAAAAAATGATTTTCAAATGTCATATAACACAAAATCACTTTTACTCCTTGGAATTTAAGGTTGCAAAATATGCAGTCCTAAATGTATTTATTTGAAACCAAAAATGGTTTTAGATTAATTAAATAGTGCTCTTTAATTTTGTCATCAAAATGTACAGTATACATTAATTCTGCTCATTAAAAATGTTACAACATAAGTGACTTTGAAAATCAATTAAGGTTAACAAAAACATCCCATCTGATTCTCCATGCATTACTTCCTATGTATCTACATTAATTTTATTAATGTCTTCAGTATTTTTGGAACGAAAAGGGTTCAAGGGACTTTTGTATGGTCAATACTGTTCTCAATGGCCTGACAAACCTGAAAATGGGTAGGAAATTCTCTCTCTTCATAGTACACAACATAGGGGAAAGAGAAAAAAAAAATGAATGAGATACAAAGTGAATTGGTCACAGTCTATTCAGACCTTCCATAGTAACTTATAGTAGCCTGAATAGACTATGACCTATGCTATACAATATAGCACTCAAGCTAAATCTTTAAATCCAGCATATTTATCTTTATACTATGCTAACACTTTTGTCCATCTTTAATTTCTTCAGACTACTCATACAACATTTTATTGATCAAACTCAAAAATTACAAGTGCTAGAAAATATAATTGTAAGCTGAATTTAAAGGTTTATTTTGAGTGTTTTAACAGTGTGGAATACAAGAAGTAACTCATTAGTTTTCATCATAATTTGCAAAAACATTCTATTTATCTTGCTCTTTCTAAATTCTTGTTCCATTCTCTCAATTACTGAAGCTAAACTGGGAAAAATACATACAGTCGACCCCCCTATAAGATCATAGATACGTTCCATTTTTTAGGAATCTGATTTCTTACGAGTCCTTCCAATCACAGCCCGACACGTGTGAAGTTTACGGACTACGGCTGATTGAAAAATTTTCTTCCATAAAATTAATCGATTCTAGACTAATCCGACTCAACATTTCCAAAATACATATATATTTTTTGGAAATAATCCGTATAAACTACTCTATAAACAAAAAATTGTAGGATTACTTACCGAGTGTGCACTATTCGACATCGCCATTGCTAAAGCTTGTATTCATCGCGGAACAGCTCAGCAAATAGCAGCCGATTTCTAACAACTTATTTTTCTGCGAAAATGTCGTTGAACTCTGGAGACATCATTAATATAAATAATTTTAATCGCCGTTGAATAAGAAATGTTTCTTTCACAAGAAATGTATAAAATTACAGTACTGAATTAGACTTATGGTACGTAATTTACATACTGTACAGACGATAGTTAGCATAAAATCTCCATAGCATAGCGCCACGCTAGACGGCGGAAATTATATATTTAATTATAATAAAGTTACAATAAGTTAATATATAATTATATATACAGTACCTAATTTATATATAATTAATATATAATTATATGTACAGTACCTAATTTATATATAATTTATATAATACTGTCCAGACGATGGAAATCTCTCCTTAGCGTGGCGCTACGGACGGCAGGAAAGTAGTTTGGCTGCCCGATGACGTTTTACATAATTATAGGAGTTTATTTATTTTTTTTTTATGGATACCGTCACAATTTTTTCGCAGTTTTATAGGAATCGTAATTATAGGGGGGTCAACTGTATATAAATATAAAATTAGACTCACTTCAACCGAATTACGATTAACTCTTGAATATTGAACAGTTTATAGATTTATATATATAACATTTGATATATATATATATATAATGGATATATATATAAAACATATATATATATTGCAGTGTTATTTAACTAATTATAGACCTTTCCTTGGTACTTTGTAAGCAGTGTCAATTGAAAAAAAAAAAAAAAGATATCAAAAATGAGAATTTGTTGTATCTTCATTTCAGATTACATGATTTGTTAGTGTCAAGTGGATCTAACTGATATGCAATCAGACCCTGATGATGATTACCGATTCATAAAAAACTATAAAGTTCACCATTTCACCAAATTCGTAATTCTTTGTCTCTTCAAGAACAAAATTGCCAAGGAAGTAGACTATCAGCTAATGAACATTTTTGTATGTCGAAATCTCCATTCACATTGAAAAGTAACAACAACTGGGAATATGTAAACAAAATAACACAAAACTTGACTGAAATATGGCCAGAAATAAAGTTTGAGCATGAAAACCCAAGGAGAAATTAAAAGATTTAACCAAGATGTTCATGACCTGCTGATGGCCTTAAGGTCTGATAACATGAAAACCTGATCAGAAAGACTACAGTTTATCCAAAGCAAGAAAAACCGAGTTCTGTGTTCAGGCATTGAGACAAGCCTTTATGAGGCTATGTCTAGAACTGCACAGAGGATTGGACTTGCAGATTATCTCTTCATTGAAGTCTTTCCAGAGTCAACTTTTTATTGTAGGCTACAGCTCTGTGATAGTATGTAAAAAAAGTCTTAAAAGCATCCTCTGGTGAAGAGCCAAATTAATTAAAAATATAATTTTCATATGTCTTTATTCCACTTTTGCATTATGTAAAATTTATAATGCCACAGATGTACTCTTCAATAAAAACTGAAGAATTGGAATAGCTCTTCAATGAAGAATAAAAAAAATGGTCAATAGAACGAAGAGTTCAACCAATAGGCTAAAAAAGTTGGAAAAATCAAGCCATATTTAAACAATTAATGTTCATTTTGTTACTTAGTTCTTTGTTTATTATGTTTTATGAGAAAATTGCTGTTTTTTTTAAAGTACTTATGCCTAATAAAAAACTAAATTGAAATTTTTTAAAATTTCATATGATTACTACTTAAATCTTACATATTTTCAAATAGATAATTATTCACATTTAATTTGATTTATTTTTATTTATTTCTTAATACTAAATAAATTCTTTATATTTCAGACATACTTGAAATTTATGAGAATGAAGAATTTTGCATAGTCTCTCTTGAAATGTAATGTATGGACGTAAATCAACATCAACTTCAAAATCTGTTGAGGCACTAATACAATCTTCTTTAGCATTTTCAACTTTTTTAACAGAAATATTATTCTTTTCTTGACCTGAATCCATCTTCATTTAGTTTTCTAAAGTAAATAAATAATCATTATTATAAAACTAAGCAATATACTTTAAAATTACCTAGTTCTTTAGCTTATGAACATTCATTTTGTATTTTATAATTTTCATTGCATAATGCTGTGATTTTCAATTGGTGTGCCATGAAAATTTTTCAGTTATTAAATAAATTATTTTCAAAAAAAACCAAAAGAACAGTAAGTGTAAATGTCAAAATTAAAATCTCTAAATTGATTATGAGTTTCTCATTGTTATAATAAATAAATATATACCTAATATAGTAAAAAATATATATATCCATAAGCATAATTATAAGTGCATAACACCAGGTTATTTCATTTAAAACAAAATTTTCTTTAAATCAAAAATGTATCTATAATTGTCCATATTTAGTTCAAATTATTTTAACTTAGAAATAGTGGAACAATAGGAAGGTTTCTAAAGAAAATTATCATGCCACTTTTAAATGCAAATTACAATAATGTTAACTGCTTTTCTTTTGTAAATGAAAATTATTGATTTAAATAACTATTGTACTAACCTGCTGTTATTTTAAGGAACAACAATACTGTTTTATTTAATTCACAAAACATATAGATAAAAAGAATTAGTTTAAGTGGCAAGTAATATGGCAATATAATGTTTACAAACACAATTTTAAACCATGTGATTTTTCCACAAAAATTTAATTATAGGTTCAAGTATGCTGTGAGATAAAAAAAGGTTGAAAAACACTGGCATAATGTAATAATAAAAATAAAATATGTACTAGTTATAAATATCATTTGAATATATCAGAAATGCTTTTTCTTAAACATTCATATGTATACAGATTAAATAACTCAAGTTTTTTAATAATTTGTATCAAATAAAAATTGAAATATCCACAAGTAATGACATGAAATATGTATAGTGTATCCTCAAAAGGCTCTGCCAGATTTATACTTCTGGTCCTAACAGATATAAATGTTTGATAGCTTAGATATATTAATAGAACTGAAAACTGAATTTTTATGTCATTTAAATAATTTAACATTTGAATTTTAAAGATAAAAATGTATATATTATACAGGTAACCCTTGATTAACATGATTTAATTAATCCCTCAATGTTACAGTGTATATCAAAATTGTGTTAATCAAATACAGAGGTAACTCAGTACTCAACCAACAATCACCATTCACTAGAACAAATTTACAGTTAATAACAAATATTTTTATTTTAATTTAATAAACAAAAATCGCAAATTCACCAACACCTTATTTTCCGAGAAAACACATCTATGTTAAGTGAAGACAGCTGTTAAAGCCACATTAATTAAAATTTCTGCTGCATATAAAAAAGGTATTACAACAATTAATTTTGCACATTAATCAAATCTTGTGTTAAGCAAGGGATACCTGTTTACAGTTTTACAGAATGTTGAATCTAATGATACAATCAGATTTGAAATCAAACAAAGCATTCAGAAGCTATACTTAAAACCTTATCTACAAAGTTCTATTAAACAACTGAAATGTTTTCAAACAATATTACTACAGTCTACTGGAATTAGACCGTTTTTCATATTTAATTCTTGGCATTCTATTTTCATGTTCTTTTATGTAACTGAAGAAGACTGTTAAAAACGGTTGAAAACAATTTTAAAGTATTAAATTAATTTGCTGAAATGTTTTCACTTTAGTATTTTATTTATTTTAAAAAAATATTTTAAGATAAACATTGGAAATTGTGTTTATCATAAGTTTCTCAAATGAGACTTGGCTGTTTTTAAACATTTATCATTTTCAATAAAGTATTGAATTTAAAAAATCCCTGAAACAGTGTTTATCCTACATAAACAATTTTAGCACAATAAAACTTATTTATTTTTTCATTCCCTAATAAAGGGATGAAATTATATCCAGGTACTCCAAGGAACTTGTTTTTTTTTTTTTTTAAATTACAGTGTATACAGATAAATATGAGAATCAAAAATAATTATGTAGAAATAAAATTTTCAGAGGGATTCTAAATAAATTTAATGTAGGAACTAAATATGTAGCAGTTAATTGTTAAGCAATGTCATTGTTTGACTTTAAAAATTTCCACTAGCAATTACAATATATTTCATTATATAAAAATTACAACAAAATAAATGTCATTTTTGTTTAATTTCTTACTTAATTAATTAGAATTTGGTTCAAAAGAATAAAAGTCCTAAGTCCAACATAACAAAGTCCAACTGTCAATTATACCAAAATTACAGCTGAATGATAAGAAAGTTTCTGTATATCTATTGTCTACTTGGACTTTGTTTATTAATAGGACTTATTATTCTGGTGTAGTGAAATTAAATTATATTCCTAAATTATTTGAAAGAGCAAGGAAACTATTATGTAATCAAATAAATATAATACTTAAAAAAATTATTTATTTTTAAACAAACTATATAGAAATTATAACACCGTAATTGATAAATTACCTAACTTCACTGCCTGTAACCGGTGTTCTTCTCCAATACGAAGGACTTTGCAAACGTTTTCGAACCTAATGTGGTTCTTCTTCAGGCACTACGGAATTCTCTATATGAATTTGAATTTCCAGTCTAGAATTAACTGTTATTTTGGAAAATCTTTCTGGAATGTTGTCACGTGTTACCGATGGCGTCATTGTAGAATTGCGCATTATCCGTATGTTGTTACTTTAGAGATTTATTGAGGAAGGCTTCCCATGCTGTTGATATCTTCATTTCTTGTTTGAAGTTAATGCAGTGCTTATTCCTGAGGGTGTTAAGGCAAATGTATAAGGCCTCTAGCCATCTGAGGTGTTGTGTGCTGAACGTGGTGTGAATAATTCTGGCTAGAGGGAATAGCGGCTCTATTTCTGGGTCGGATGAGTATACCGCTAAGGCGGTGTTGTTTCTATGATGTAGGATGTCCGCTTTGTGTTCCTTGATTCTAGTTATTAAGTTGCGTTTAGTGGACCCGATGTAAATTACTTCGCTGTTGTCTCTATGATCTGTGATGGGCACAGAGTATACTCCCGGAAGTCTGTTGCTGTCTGGAGAGTCTTTTCCATTTCTAAGCCAATCGAATATTGTGGCGCACCTCCTAAATGCCAAGCGGACATTCTTTTTCTTGGCTATCTGGTTGTATATGGCCTTAAGTGCCGGGTTGTACGTGATTGGTATGTACTTAACCAGGGAATCATTGGAACGAGAGGTGTTGTTGGATTGTTGTTTGAGTACATTGTTGTTTATCTTGCATACGATGTTGTGATAGCCATGTTGTTTAGCTATTTGCTCTATGCGTCACATTTCAGCTTTCAATTCTGAAATGCGACGCATAGAGCAAATAGCTAAACAACATGGCTATCACATTTCTTACATATTTCTTGTTAGATGTAATATCAATGTTTTAAAAAAGGTTTTTTTATACAATTGTTATAGAATGTTGTAAACCTGTTGAAGAGAAACCGTCAGATTCGAAACACAAAAAGAATGTACAGTACAAATGAAAATAAAGATATTTTGTTTTGACTTTTCACTAAGATCTCCTGTTTTCACTAATCAGAAACTACACCAGTATAATAAGTCCTATCAATAAACAAAGTCCAAATAGACAGTTTTACATTTCTGTGTATATATTAAGGACATAGAGGTAAAAAAAATGGATAAGAAAGTTTAATTGCAAAATAATTTTTTTTAATAAAAATACTAAAAATGATTTGTTTTAATAAAAAAATTATTTAAAAAAATACTTATACTTGTTTAAATGTTTATACTTTTTCCATTAAAGAATAAAAAAAACTAGAGAAACTTTTACAAGGTATCAGAAAATTAAAGATTGTGATACTAAATCATGAAATTTGCATCTCAGATATATCATCAATGTTAAACTTTAACTTCAAGTAAAAACCCATCTTACAATATTCCATTATTTGAATGAGCAAGGTAGGTAATTGATGATATAAAACTCAAATGATCACTAAACATTTCCACTCTATGTCACAGAATACAAGGTTGTACATACAACCTTGTACAGCAGAAAAAATGCTTATTAAACTAATGTTTCAGTCATATTTAATGACCTTCCTCAGGTTTGCATTAAAAAAAAATCAAACAATTTACAAAAGCTAACAGAAAATAGAATAAAAACATTGAAATGCTTAACAAGGTTTAAAATACAAAAAAATAAAAATGTTTTATGATTNATCAAACAATTTACAAAAGCTAACAGAAAATAGAATAAAAACATTGAAATGCTTAACAAGGTTTAAAATATAAAAAAAATAAAATATTTTATTACTTGTTACACTATAAAAACATGTGCAATACAAAAGACAATAGAAACTGGAAACAAACAACTTTTGTTTTTTAGTTTTATGCATATACCTTTGTAATGAAACAAATCATAAAACATTTTTATTTTTTTGTATTTTAAACCTTGTTAAGCATTTCAATGTTTTTATTCTATTTTCTGTTAGCTTTTGTAAATTGTTTGACTTTTTTTAACAGCAAATCTAAGGAAGGTCATTGAATATAACCAAAACATTAGTTTAATAAACATTTTTGTTTAGTGCAAGGTTGTACATAGTTGAATGATCTACTGAAGCAGTTATTTTATAAATTGAGGATACAACTTAGTTCATTAAACAATTGTTTAAGTCTATTTGCAGTAGCTTAATAGCTAGATTAAATAAATAAATTCTTTCAATTTCACTTCTTTTTCAAAAAATCAATTATATTTCTATTATTATTTTAATATTTTCACTTAACTTTATTTAATAATATATATTATATCATATATATGTTATGATATATCAATAAACAACCTACCTTCAAGAATTTTTAAATAGATTAGTTTGTCATTAATTACTGTTACTATCAAATGAAACTCAGAAGTGGAAAATAGCAATACCAAAAGAATAAGTTATTTTGAGTTGAACACACACCCCCTTTTTAAAAATATATAGCTCCCACTTATATTATTCTCAAGTACCTAAATACCTTCCTCATATAAACAAA